ATCCTGAGGTTTCTCAATATTCCTGGAGACTTTTCTCACTTCTGTAGATCCACTGACTTGTGTAGTGTGATCATGTTTTGAAGCAATTGTGAACATTCTTGCAGTCAAAGACAGTTCAGGTTCTTGGCTAGACTGTTCTGCACTGTTGGCCCACAGGATGATTAGTTTGGTTAAAATGAGACTTCTTTCAATGCCCAGCTTTGATATGTTAAAAAAATTTCCAAATCCTTCCAGCCACCCAACCTAGGCACAACTTGATCAACGATTATGAACATGCCACAGGGATAATGGCTTATTCATAGAGAATGCCCTGGTTTTCCTCTGAGAAGACTTGTGTCCACTTGATATAACTAAGGAAACAATTCAAGTGGTGAAACATGGGACTTGGTGATCTTAGAGGTATTTTCTGATCTTAATGATTCTATAAACACAAATGTCTTTTGCCACTAGTGATATTCTACAATGTGCAAAATATCCTGCCAAAGGGCAAACAGAAGGATAAGCAGCAGCAACTGAAGGTGAAGTGAGATACCCTAAAGCACATCAAATGGTCTAGACATCTGTACTTAGACCTCTGACCTGCTCACTTTGGGTAGCGGTGTCTGTTAGTGTCATACCATAAATCAGGACAGCTGCCTAAGCCTGGTCTTCAGCTTCAGTTCATACATTTTGTTCCTTAGTTCAGGCGGTTGGGAAACATCTTCCTAATGTGCTCCAGTCCTGCTCCTTGGATGCATTATCAGAGCTATTCTCTCCCTGTTTGCAGGCTTACTGGCCATCAGGGTCCTAGGCACAATGTCAGTGCCTGTACCACAGCATGGCCAGTGTGTGGCACAGTCTGTGCTACTTGCTGGGAAAAGGTGCAGAGCTATGACTGTGCTCTGCAGGTTTTTGTGCACCAAAGCAGACAGCTTGGATTGTTGCCTTTCCAGCATAGAAAACTTGAGGAAAAGAAGAAGTTGCTCTTGAAGTTACCTTCAACCTGCTTTTCTCCCAGTGTTTGATATACTTGGACTAAAAGAAGAAGAAAAAGCTTATTTAAATTTCTTGCTGGAATAAACTGGCAACACAGATTTATTTCCACAACCAGGGAAGCGTATGGTAGCTCTTCTGATCTGCATAATTCCTCCCACGTGGTTCCTTCTCTAGAGCATCTGTATATCTGAGCAATGCCTTACTTAAACACATGACTCTAAAATGTGCTAATTTGATTTACACACAACTACAGTTTGGCAGGTCCAGAAGCAGCATAGATGTGTTCACTTGGTTTTCTGCTCAGGTTTATGGACTAACAGGGGCTTTCTTTGCCTGCCCATGCAGAGGGGTTGGGACTAGATGAGCTCTAAGCTCCCTTCCAACTCAAACCATTCTGTGATTTTATGATTCTTAATGGAACAGTTCACAACAAAGCAGCACCTTGAGACTATGTGTGAGAGAATATATGTAGGTTGTAATGTAATAACATGATTATTATTAATATTACTATAGTGTCAAGGGAACACCAAAGAGTTAAGCACTACAAGTTGCACACAGTAAATGTCAGGTTATTTTTGTGGTGGCCACTTTAATAAAAATGAATAAAGAGAAATGAAACCTCTTAATTCATTGTACATGTGTCTGGCTGCTCTTGTCTTTTTGTGTTTTCCCAGAGCTTAAGACATTGATTGCATTTACTGTGTTCATATCTATACAAATATATGCCTTCTAAAAACTGGTTTGAGACAAACTCCTTCACTTCCTCAGAGTAATAATTTATTTTTTTTTAAGAGAGTGAATTTCGTGCACTTGGTTTCTTGATTTTTCTAGTACATGTCAAAATATTCTTTAACTGCACACATCACTGATATTGTCTGAGAAGCTGAAACCAGACTGCCTTTACTGAACTCAGGAAATTGCAAATGGCTTTGAGGCAAAAGAAATGAAATCACAAGGCTATGAAGTTCAAGTTTACACTTCCATTTGAATTTTGCTCTGCTGCTCAATTGAAGGCTGACTCGAGAGATGAAAGGCTCTACCAGTGCATAGTTAATGGAGAAATATGAAGTATGTGGATCCTTTCAGGAAAACATAACAATATTAAAACATCACTGCAATTAACAGAGAAGCCTTTTGTTATTTACAATCCAGACCTGGTTTTGCTTTCTCAGATACAACTTATTAGCAGAGATGACAGGCAGCTCTACTCACTCCTCTGGCTATGAGGTTAACATTTCCTCCCTATCTTTGCTTTTTATCTCAGTTTCCATGTTCCCTCATTGTGTTGGTTTTTTTTTTTTTTTTAATTTATTTATTGATTTTTTAAATCTGTTAATGAAATGTTCTACAAAACAGCATAAAGATGTTTCCAGAAAGGCACATCAAAATATCCTGTTAATAGGGCATGCTTAAGGAAGGCTGCAGGGAGAGGTGAAGTACATCTTGCTCTCTGTGCCCAGTAGCCTGCATTTAAATACCCCTTGAGTCAGACTTACTCAGATACAATTGACTAAATTTAGTCAGTTTAGCCAGATATATCTGACTAGATGTTCTCATCTGTAAGGCAAACAATAAAATCTGAGATTTTAACCTTAGGCTCCCCTTATAATCAATCAAGTCTTGGCTTTGATTTACCTCTACTAAAGGCAACACCAAAAATAAGGAGGATAGATGAAACTCCTTTGTCCTTTCACTATAGACTGAATCTAAACCTTCTTCTCAAAGGTCTAGGGCTACCCAGAGAACATAAAAAGTTGAGCATGGTAGTATTCCTAGTGTTTAGTATAGTGTGATGGAATTTGCATACTTGCATACGTATATATGTCTATGTGTTTTGAACTCATATAAAATTTAACATAGAATCATAGACTAATAGAATGGTTTGTGTTAAAAGGGACCTTAAAGATCATCTAGTTCCACTCCCCCTGCCATGGGCAGGGACATGTCCTACCAGACCAGGTTGCTCAGAGCTCTATCCAACCTGTCCTTCAACACTCCCAATGAGGGGGCTTCCACAGCTTCTCTGAGCAACCTGGGCCAGTGTCTCACCACCCTCACACTGAAGAGTTTCTTCCTAAAATCAAAGTTAAATCTCCCTCTTCCAGCTTAAAACTATTACCCTTTGTCTTATCACAACAAGCCCATGTAAAAAGTCTCTCAATACCACACTATGACAACTACATTTTTATTATTCTTATTCTTATATAGCTTTTCTGAGCCACACATACTGAACAGTATAGGAACTGTCACGTTCATATACTGTGACAATCTCTGGATACTCTTTTCAGACCCTGGGAAATATAGAGTGAACCAGTTCTAGCAGCAGAATCCTGAATTAATTGCTATTTCCTATTTATCTTTTAAAAAGGTATTCTAAGAACCTGAATGTCAGCCAACACAATTTTCTGAATCTTCGTCAGGATTCAGGGAATCAGAAAAAACCTTCATTTTCTTGGAAGATCCCAGAGATCAGTTACAATATATGCTTTCCAGGCACTTGAGAGCCCTTAGAACAGAACAATGTTTGTTTTGAAGATAAACAGATCTAATATGCTTATGTCTGGTACACCCCATGGGGAAAATAGCTGAAATTTATTCCTGGGCTGTTGGAGATGAAATTGTAGCATTATCAGTTCCTAGAAGTGGTGAGTAAAGCCAGTGAAGTAGAAGTTCATTAGGAAAACCTCTCTTTGAAATAGGGGTGGTGGTTCGTAGCTGCTAAAAGGTCAAAAGTGTGTCAATGGATCCTTGCCTCCTAGCACACACCAAAGCACAACACAAGATTCCCCAACCTGGGATTGCACCTGCCTTGGGGTTTACCCGAAGTGCGTTTTGAGTGTGGGGTGGCAGTTTAATGCATTAGTGACCCAGAGTGTTCACTTCATTCCCTCTGTTGGGATGTGAGGCAAGGCTGCAAAATAAACCAAAGTAGATTGAATTCAGGTATTGCTTTCCCTGCTTGCTTGTTCCTATTTAGCATGTAAGGGAAAACAGACAAAGTCTGTAAAATCCTGTACTTCCCTTCTACTTCTTCATCATCAAGGGTGAAGGAAATGGCATGGGAAATATGAAAGAATAAAGTTGCTTGCAGGGAACCAGGGTGACCTCACCCATCTTCAACCAGTGCACTGATTTTCGTGGTGTTTTCCACTGAGTGAGATTTGAACCTTAGCAGTGCCCCTACAAAATGTTCTAATGAAACCCAAAATTGTGTTACACTTGAATTGATATCCCCTGGCTACTTTCTGCTGCAGGAAGTGTATTGATTTCTGGGAGCTGGTCTTGTTCTTACTTGTTTGCTGCTTTGGGATTACCTGCTTTCTGTTGACTGTGATGTTCCTGTTACAGACTAATTTATCTTTTTCTTCTTTTTTTTTTTTAGCCCTTACTTTTCTTCCTTGCAGTGGGCTGCCTTCAAGTCCTAAGGGGATAGGGGGGTGAAGTTTGTGTCAAGTCATCTCAGTTGAATTGACATTGTATTCTCTTATGGCATTCCTTCTTCCTTTATTCCCAGTGAAAACAAGGCAACTTTCAAGCCAGAAGAGAATACAATGCTAATTCAACTGAGATGACTTGATCTTTTAATTTGGTTTTGAGACCTGAGTGAGGTTAATGGGTTGTGCAGGCCTCAAAAGGAAATGGTGGAACTGAATATCAATTAATTTCTGATTCCTCTTTCAATTATTTCTCTATTTAGAGGTACTTTTACTTCAGCCTTACATGAAGTAGGAACACATTAAAATAAAGAAAACACATTAGAAATTGCACTTTGACAGGGAGAGCAACATAAAAGCCCCAAATAATTTCTGAGCAACATAATTGCTTAGTTTGGCTTTCAGCATTTTGGAGCAGGGGTGAGAAAGAAAATACTTTTGTAGTTTTCTCTCATCTTCTGTGGACATTTTATTTATTTATTTATTTATTTTTAAGTCAGATTGCAAAACTGATGTTTCATCATAAACTCAGTAGCTATTTTAAGTTTGTAATTGGTTTTTTTTCTCCATATTTTCCCCCTCACATTTCAGGTTGCAGCAACCCATTCCAACTGCATCATTAAGAAGGAGCAAGAGACCTGTTTGGAGAAGATACGAAGGACAACTGCCCTGAACCCCCTCAATGACTCTTCTCCAGGTGAGTTCCAGCTTGGGATAGACCATGTCCATTGTACTGGTGGTTTCTAAACATTTCCTGCCATGTCTGCAGGGGTTTCCAGCAATGTCAGTGCAAACATCTTACTGTAAGAGGTGTGTGGTTATTGAGCATGGTAAGGACAAAAATTTAATCAGTGGGGATTTACCAGAACAATTGCTGGTTATTATCACAGGTCAGACATTTGCTTTTGTACTTTAGGTGATGCAGTCACATATATCTATAAAATGGATCCAGTAAAACAACAAGCAAAAAAGGAAATAAAAAAGAAACTGTGCTTGGAAAGATCTTGATAATGTTAATGTCTTCTGTTAGTGCAGGTGGCAACAGATATTGGGGACTGGACAGAAGACCAAGTGTTTCATGGGTCTGTTCTGTACCAGCTCATTCCCCCTCATGATTTCAGTAATAATTTGTGCCTCTTTCTCACATGATCTGAAGACTTTTACAAAGATTAACATTGTGATGACCATAATCTTGATAAAGCATACTTGTGCTATTGCTAAGATAAGAAACTGAGGGAACAAGAGAAGAATAAATTAATAGTTTCATATCCTGTCTTATTTTCCACTGGTTGCAGCAGGAGCTGCCCATGGCCAGCACCAGTGAGAGGAGGTCAAAGTATGACAAACAAATTGGAAATCAGGGTCTATTTTCTGAGTCCTGGCAAAAATGTTTCTACTATGACTAGAATTGGTAGAACTACAGAGAGAAGCAAATCATAGGATAGAATCATTAAGGTTGGAAGGGACCTTAAAGATCATCAAGTTCCAACCCCCCTGCCATGAGCAGGGAACCACTACATCAGGTTGCACAAAACCTCATCTAACCTGGCCTTAAAAACCTCCAGAGATAGGGCATCAAAAACCTCCCTGGACAACCTATTCCAGTTCCTCACCACCCTTATAGTGAAGAATTTCTTCCTAATATCTAACCTAAATCTCCCCTCTCTCAGTTTAAAGCCATTTCCCCTTGTCCTATCACTACCTTCTCTGACGAAAAGCCCCTCCCCAGCTTTCTCGTAGGCTCTTCAGGCACTGGAAGGTGCTCTAAGGTCTCCATGGAGCCTTCTCTTCTCCAGGCTGAACAGCCCCAACTCTCTCAGCCTGTCTCCATAGCAGAGCTGTTCCAGCCCTCTGATCATCTTGGTGGCCCTTCTCTGGCCCCTCTCCAACAACTCCATATCTTTCCTGTGCTCAGGGCACCAGAACTGGACACAGTGTTCCAGGTGGGATCTCACCAGAGCAGAGTAGAGGGGCAGAATCCCCTCCCTGGCCCTGCAGGCCACACTTCTTTTGATGCAGCCCAGGACACAATTGCCCCTCTGGGCTCCAGCTCTCACTGGTGGCTCATGTCCAGCTTCTCATCTCCTCCCACCCCCAAGTCCTTCTCCTCAGGGCTGCTCTCCAGCCATTCTCCCCCCAGCCTGTATTAGTGCCTGGGGCTGCACTGACCCACGTGCAGGGCTCTACTTGGCCTTGTTGAGCTTCATGAGGTCGGCACTGGCCCACCTTTCCAGCCTGTCAAGGCTTTCCCTCTGAATGGCTTCCCTTCCCTCTTGGGTGCCAGCCACACCACACAGCTTGGTATCATCAGTAAATTTGCTAAGGATACACTTAATATCACTGTCCATGCCTCCAACAAAGATGTTAAACAGCACTGGTCCCAATATTGAGGTCCCCCTGAGGGACACCACTCGTCACCTGCCTCTATTTGGACATGGAGCCATTGACCACAACTCTCTGGGTGCAGCCATCCAGCCACCAATCTCTTATCCACGGAGTGGTCCATTTGTCAAATCCATGCCTTGTCCGTTTGGAGACCAGGATGTCATGTGGGACAGTGTCAAACACCTTGCACAAATCCAGGTAGATAAATAAAACACATTGTGTCTGTGATAAAAGATGGGAGATTTCTCTCCCATTTTTTGTTGTCACATAATTTAGCCCAGAAGCCAGGGAGGGTAAGATGCAGATCTCTGTGTTACCAGAGCATCCTCTGAAGCAAACCATGCCTGCTTTTTAGCTGCTAGAAATATTTCAGTGAGAGTCCTGCTATTTGTCTCATACATGAGATATTTTTTTTTTCTACTTCCCTTCTTTGGGCAAATGAACTGTGTGGTTTGGTGGACTTGAGGAAAGCAAGTACTTAAGATGGCTCATTTCACCCCCAGGGATGTGCTTTTGAGACCCTCTTTCTACATCACAGAAGAACTTCCCAATTCCTCCCCTGTCCAGAAGTGGCACAAACAAGGACAAAAGGTTAAAGTCCTTTTTTTTAGAGATAGTTTCATTTTCTTCCATTGTCGGTGACACAAAGTCAAAGGATCACTTATAAAACTTGAATCTGGGACCTGAACAGTCTTTGTGATGTGTATTTCTACCATATCTGGAGCAATAATGTCACAGATCCTACTCCAAGTGCCTACGTGGTGCAAAGAATAAAAACGGCAGCAGTAGGTTCTCTGGTCCTATTTAGAAACCTCTTCTCCTGCTCTGATATTTCTTCTGCCTAAAAGTACTGCATGGAAAGCAATAGACTTTGAAGGCAAAAGAGGAATATCTAACTGGGTCCTACACTGTACAATAGTTCAACTCTCCTGCCTTTGCTTTGCCCCTTTGCTGTGTTCAGCATCTGTGAGCACAGACATAAACTAAATGGTTCCCCAGAGCTCCGCTGGGTGAGGTCCAACAGGAGCACAATGTTGGTGCTGCAACTGCAGCCCCAGGTCTTGAAGAGCAATGCTGGCACCATGTGCTGGAAAAAACCCAGCCCTGCCTTGTCAGTGCTTTCTTGTTTTCCCTTTTCCTTCCCTCTCTACCTCTCATGCCCACCTTTTATGTTCACTACTGTTTTCTTTTCCACAACACTCTTCTCCCTCTTTCTGCTCTTCTGTAGTCCCTAGAATGCTTCAGACAAGGATTGCCTTGAACTTTTATCTGTGGGTTGTTGTTTTTTGTTTGTTGTTTGGTTTTTTTTCCTGTGGATTTTATAAGGCTTCTTCCTCTTAAATGGTCTCTATTCTTCAGAAGCCTGAAGTGCAAGTGCAAGTTCATGGTGCAAGAATTTGAAAAAAACCAGAAGTGATGAGGACTCATTGGTGATGATGTGCTTCATGACTCACTGGTAAATTAATCTCTATCTTGTAGTCCTAGTTAGCTGGTCCCAGTCCTCCTGTCCTTCCTCTGAAAATTTTGAAGGGCAGTAGCATTGCCAAACAAGTCAAGAAATTAAAGTGAAGTTAGTAAGTGCAGGGGTGCAATGCCTACAGTGTGATCTTTGTTGAGAGGAATCCTACCAGCAAGTTACCCTGCAGATCAATAGGAAGGAGACTGGAAAGGGTACCAAAGAGCTAGGACATGATAAGCAGAAGGCAATCCTGGTATTGCAAGAAGATGCAAAATCACAGTAGACTTTGGAAAATGTTTCTGTCTTCAGATGACAATGTAGTAAGGATTTTTTAGTTTTAGATTTTTATTGAGCCTCTCATCGGCCTCCTGTCCTTCCAGAACCTTTTAATTATCTAATCTTATTTCCCTTGGCACCACTGGGAAGACATTACTTCATTGTGTGCCTTTGTGTGTGTGCATCTGTCTCCTTTATTGATGCAGCTGTGCACAAGAACAATAGGTCTAGGATTGTTCTTCTCAAACTCAGCTTTTAAAAGCTATTTAATTCCTAGAGTTGGGAGGGTAAAACTAAGAATATGTCTCTACACCTGAATGTTTTCTACTTGGCTCCTATTTGAGCCAGGTTACTAACTTTGATAGCTTTGATCTGCCTGGATACATCTGTTTTAGGTCAAAGAGGCTTTTTTTGTACTGATTGATTTATCCATGTGACACTGCTTATAATGTCTTCTACTGAGATCATATTGGAGATTGTAGTAATAATCAAGAATTTCAAGGTAGAAGATAGGGATCATGCAATGCCATGAATCATGCTCATTTCAGACATCAGTGCTGCAGAAGTCTCTGTCTGAACAAGCCACCTGAGCAATGCTTGATACCTGAACTATGATCAAGCTTTACTCTTTCTCAAGCAAGTGCAAGAAAAAGAGCTTCACTAACCCCTGGTTTTCAAGCACTGGCCCATTCTTTAGCTCTTTGCTGAATGCTCAGGTTATTAACAAGCTTTTCACAAGTTTACTCATCAGATACAATGGTTGTATTCATGTCACCCAAATATAACTGTATATAGTAGAGAGATTGTTGCTGGTTATTTAGACTGCGTTGATAGTCAATAGATTAAAATAAGTACTTAAAAGTCACTCATACTTACAGGTACTCACAGGACTTACCCTATTTTAGACATCCATCCTATGTTGGGAAGACTGTATGAGAAATCCACATTTCTCCCCATTGCCCATGAAAACAATCATCATGGAGATCTGAAGTTAGTTGGTATGAATTGTGTCATTAATAATGTAACAGTACTGGAATGAACAAAACCTTCATAATCCAGCAATAAACCAAGCTGCACGTTCCATTAAGAATCTTCTTCTCCAATGGAGCTGCAGCAGCTAAAAGAGATGTTGTGAGCCTATTAAATTATAGTGGTGAAGCTGAAAGACTGGAAGTGAAAAAGTTCAGGATCAACTGTGGCAGGGGAAAGCAGTGGTGCTGTCATTGACAAAATGCTTTGAAATGGTCTACAGAAAAGTTTCTTGTCAACCACAGCTGGAGACAGGGCAAACCACCAAGGGATGAGCCACAGGTATGTTGCTATTTCTAGGAAAAGCCTCTAGCATATTTCTTTCTCATCACTCTATAATGCACAGCCAGGCTATACTTACGTATATGCTGTACCTGGGAAGAAAAATAGTATAATAAGAATTTTACTGGTAAAGAATTTCTGGTAACTGGGTTTAAAAACTCATCCAGATTGTACCCTAGACATAACATGAAGATGCACATACTAATGTCAGTTGAGCAGGGATATTCATTTGGCATCATAACTCTCAGCTGAGATGATGGTCCTGA